CAGACGCTTCGCCGACGAGTCCTCCTTCTGGGCCTGGCTCCAGAAGGGGACCCCAGGCTTCCTCCGGGCCGGGTATCCTCACTTCCTGTGTCGTCTTTCATGAGGTCTTTGTCATTGCCATAGTTTTTATTTAAAAGAATCAGACTTTAATGTGTTATTTGATTTATTCATGTTTGTTTTTGAACTTTTAAGGAGATTTGTTGACAATAAGAAACATATGTCACATAATGAATTATGTTGATTTATGTTTGTCGGGAAAAATAAGCAAGTTAAGAAACTTTACCAGTAGTTTCAGTTTAAAAGGAAGAGAGTGACTAATTGTGATTGGTATTTTGGGTTCTCTTGGCAACATCTCTGACTGTGACTAAAGCACCTAACCAGGTGCGAGCGAAAATTATGCCATTTAAAAACATAAACGGCTGTCAGCGAATCGAGCCGGCTGTGATATCATTTCTCGGTCATAATCGGTTGTTTCCGTGAAGGGCCGACTGTTGTGTGATGGCAAATGCTGCGGCTGCAAGGCATTGTGGGGCAGCATTTTATCCTCTCCTTTCCTAAAAGGAAGGTTCCTAAGCTAACGTTTATAATAAATACATTTGTATTGATTTTAAGATCTTTTCATAATTCATACAATCATACGTATTGGGATCATTTGTATTAATGTGGACCGGAGGGAGACGGTGACGAGCATAAATTTAACTCCTTTTTTATTTCAATTCCAACTTTGGTCATGAAGAATATGTTTCTCTGTTGTCCACGTTCATGAAGCATAAAACAACAGCATCAGAGCACGGTGCAGAGTCTCGAGATGAGTTTACAGTAGTCCCTCGTTCTTATTATACATCCATATTGTAGTCCGCTATAGAAAACTGTAGTTTCCATAGTTTCCCCACAGCAGCAGACGCACATTCATGACGTCCGCTGGCCCATCATAAACACGTCGGATAGTGAAAGTGCATTCGGATTCTCTAAAGAACCGCGGTCTCTTCTCCTAAGTCCTTTTGAATTCTCCTATCCACTATCCCTTAACCCAGTGACGTTTCACTCAGAGGTCAAGGAATAGGAGATAGGGTTAGAATTTAGGAGCTGATTTTTGGATTATCGGAACGCAACCCTGGAATGAAACACAAAAGGTTAGTGCCAAAATAAAACAGGAAGTTGGAGACAAGACAAAAACATGAAACATGACTGGAGTCAGGAGATAAGGGCTGTACAAATGATCATGTCCTTGTGAGCTTTTGCCTGCGCACACATACACACACGGCCATTATTTCCAACATGATTAACTCTGCAAGCAGCAATATCCTGAGGAGAAGACAGAGTGTTTTGTTCCACCCATTTGCTGCTTCACAGACAAGGAGCAAATCAAGAGATTAAGAGCAACGTCTCACTAACTCCAAGGGAATCTTTGATGGGGGCCCTCTTTTATATACCCCCTTTGTAAAGTTATGGTATATAAAATAGAATATATTTCTATGATCCTACAGGATAATGTGTCTGAGCTTATCATTAATTCACATCACAAAGATAAGAAACTTTTGTGTTATGTGAGTAAAAAAAAGACTTGTGGTAGTGTCTCTGCAGAAACAGCAGTATAAGACTTATCCACACTGAAATGTCAGAAAATACATATGTATAGTCAGGAAGTCAAAACATTCTTCTCCAGGCCTCAAATGTTGACTTCAGGGAATACAAGGTGGGAACCGGACACTGAGAATATCTATGGGTTTAAAGCAACTGTAGTGCCCTTTGTATAACCAATATACTGTACATCTCATGGATTATTCTGAGATCATTTAAATTCATTAGATCTAACAAAAGGCCAAAGGTGGACAAAAGATAATCAAGTTATATTTATACTGTAGCTACCTAGGATCTACAATCTTTGCATATTTGGCTTCAGCCTTCACGGACTCATACATTTAATAAATTCAGTAGGAATGTATCTTGCGCATTTACGCTGAGAATTTCCTTATTTTCACATGCATGTGCACAGAGAAGCCCCAGCTTGGCAAAATGTTTCAAAGACAAATCAATTATAATAACCATTCTCTATGCCACCATATATTTACGAGAAAACAACTTGGTTTTGAGTAAAACCCAATTTCACCACCAAAACTCCTCATTAACCACTTATCTGCAAAATACTTCCACTGCCACCAAAACGGTCCATAAAAATCCATCAGTCATCGTAAAATGTATTTTAATTCCCAATAACTTTGCATAAAAACATTCCTACATTTGTTTCTAGTTACTTTTTAACAGTCGCATGGTAACCATTTGTCCACTGCAAATACAGTTAACGGTGTAAGGCCT